GAGACTGTGGATTTATCATGTCTCCATCTCTTCTGCAACTCATCAGAACTAATGTCCACCCTGTCCTGGATGCTCCAGATGGACAGGCTAATGTGTAGAATGTTCATTAGACACTAGTATCTATTTCTCAGGAAGTCAGGCAGTGTTTGTATCCAGACTGGTTTACTCCGGCTATACATGCTGGTGAAATTACACGATTTGACTAACTGTTCTGTAAAGCAATAGCATAGACGTGCAAAAAGAAGGTTATTCTTGCTAAGAAAACTAAGTGGAATGCTTCAGAATGACTCGAGACTCCAATTTCCTTAAAAATGTTGCATAGTTACAATCGGTGAGACAAATGCAAGAAGCTACAATACCTAGAAAGATCCCGCAGCCAGATTACTTCCCAGACATCAAAGTTCTTATTCCATGTTAAATAAGGATGGGGGGTGCCTGGGTGACTCAGTCAGTTAAGCATCTGACTTCGGCTCAGGTCATGATCTCACAGTTTGTGGGCTCGAGCCCCGTATCGGGCTCTGTGCTGACAGCTCAGAGCCTGGAGCCTGTTTCAGATTCTGTGTCTCCCTCTCTCTCTGACCCTCCTCTGCTTGCTCACGCTCGCGCTCTCGTGCTCTCGCGCTCTCGCGCTCTGTCTCTCTGTCTCAGAAATAAATAAAATATAAAAAAAAATAAGGATGGAATTTCTAGATGTTCTCTCATAGGAGAAGTCTGGCCAGGTAAAAGGACAGCCTTTAATCAGAAAAAGCTCTTACCCTTCTATCAGGACATTTGCAAAACAATATATGTGCTTATCTTCTAAATTAAAATAAAATCTATCTTTTAGTTCTTATTTGTTTTTTTAATATTTTTTATTTGTATTTTTGACGGAGACAGTGTGAGCGGGGGAAGGGCAGAGAGAGAGAGGGACAGAGGATCCCAAGTGGGCTCTGCACTGACAGCAGACAGTCCAATGTGGGGCTTGAACTTACGAATGGCGAGATCATGCCCTGAGCCGAAGTTGGATGCTCAACTGACTGAACCACCCAGGAGCCCCTGAAATGTATCCTTTTAATGGCATTCCTTTCTTTGGCCAACTTTTCCGATTAACCCATCAACAAATGCGTTGTCCTCACTGTACTGGATAGGAGAACATCTACTATATATTGAGGTCTGTCTTTTTTCATACTTTTTTCTACCCTTTCTATCCTAAAACTGAACAGCCACTCTATGCCCATAGGGCATTAGCACAGAGTCATATTTCCCAAGAGCTAAAGTCTCAGAGTTGTTCCTCAAAGTGACAATGAAAACAAAGGGGACCTTGGAGTGATCAAATATGTTTGGGGAAATCTCCCAATCATGCCCCCTCTTGCACATTCACTAAGAATCAAGAACTGAGCTAAACTTTGTTTAACCCAGATTTTCCCCAACTTATTTACCCTGTCTTGGTAGCAATACCTATAACATCCTATAAACATACACACTTTAGGAATCAGGAGAGATATGACATATAATTTCATTTTGGAGTAATTTACCATTGAGTCAGAGATAGGAGACATGCAGATCTGACACATACACATATATACACAGAACAGGCAAATGACAGTATTCTTCAGTATATTTGTAGGGTCAAAAGATGGTAAAATAGGTAGGTGTTAAAGTTCAGACCAACAGATCAGCTGCCCACCTCTAATGTGTACAAATTGTGGGCCTGAGTCTCAAAAATGTGCTCTTAGTTCATTGTTCTGGAAAGTTCAAAGAGGACTCACATTTCTTAAATGTGACTATGTACCAGGCTTGGCTTTTTATACATATTATCTCATTTAATTTTTATAAGCATGAGAAATGGGTATTCTCTTTTTTCAAAGAAACAGACTCCGAGAGATTGCACAGCTTGGGGGAGGGGCCTCAATTCATGCCCCTGTGTGTCTGTCTTCAAAGCTTGTCTTCTTTCCACCATGCCCCGCCCCCTCTCCCACCCAGTCTTTATAGGCTCTCCTGAGCCGGGATTTGGGGACGTGGGCGCCCACCTGTGTCTGGGTAGCCAGGCTGACCCATGGCCCAGCCTGGGCCTGCAGGGGACAGCTGTGCCGTGCCATGTCCCTTGAGCCTGGACTTCTCCCCATCCCTTCCTTCTCTGGTCCAGAGGTTCTAAGCTGTGACTTTTTTAAAGGCCTAGAGGTTACTCCCTTGTCCTTTCCTGATGGCCGCTGTGAGGAAGGCATGAACCGAGGGAGGACTATGCCAATGTTAAGTGCTTTATTAATAGTATCCTCACTGAGTGCACTTGGAGCTGGAGAGGGTCCAGGGAGGGAGGGTGTGGGGCAGAAAGTCTTACTCATGCTTTTCAGCAAGCCCTCTCAATGGTTCCCAGTCCCTTTTGTAGAGCCGGTCAGGGTCTTGCCTCCCCCTCTGCTTTGTGCTCAGTGACTACCCCCCTCTCTTCACCTCTACCTTCCCCTGCTATCCCTAGTCTGGCTGGAAGTGGCCATGGAAAGGAAAGAAACGACTCTAAGCTATAGAGAGGGATTCAGCAAAGGGGGAAGAGGGCAGGATGCGAACTGAAGCCCAAGGTCAGAGGGGAGACACAGCCAGGAGCGACTGATAGGGTGACGCTGTAGTCTCAAGACTTAAGTCAGGGGTGAGTTGCAAATGGGGAGTGGCAGGTAGCTGAGGCAGGAGCCCGTGGGGGTCAGGGCAGGCGCCGGCCTGCGCGCTCGGGTTCATGGGCAGGGGAATTGGTCCTGCTGCCCCCCCCTCCACGCTTGCCTTTTCTCCCCCTCAGTGATGATTTTGTTGGTGTGCTCACATCAGTCTTCAAAAACGCATGGGGTGGCGGAGGCAGGGAAGGAAGGAGAGGGAACTAATGTGTACGAGGCCCCTCAGCGTGCCAGGATCCTGGCAATTCCTCCCTTGCTTCGTCGTCATCTTCACAAAAGGTGAGTGTGTCTAGGTTACAGAGGAAGAGGTAGCGTCTAGATCTGAGCTCAGGTTTAGCTCCCTCAAATGCCCACGAGCCTCAACCACACCCATAGTCTATAGTTACACATCACTGGGCCGCAGTGCGTGGGGCCAGCTCCACACCCGGGGCGGGCTGGGGACGGGAGAGGGCCAGGGCACAGAAACGGATCCTTCCCCAGGGAGCCCCTCTTCCCACGGGTGGGGCTGGGAGTTGTAGCAGGGCCACGGCGGGTCTCTGAGGGTATGGAAAACCAGGACGGGCAGGAGGCCTGGGTGTCCCCACCACCGTCCTTGGCTCCTGAGTCAGAGCTGCTCCCGGGAGACCCCGGGGGGGCCTCCAAACCTGGCCCTGGCTCCCTGACCTCATCACGAAAGCTCCCGGAGTCTCTCCAGCCTCCTCCCCTCATCTTGACCCGCATCTTTCCAGTCCCCTCTCTCCAAATGGGGTTCCTGGTTGTTCCCTAGGTGGTGCTTTCAAATTTTGCTTCCTCAGCAAAGCACTGGGGTGGTCTCAAGACCCTAGAGCCGGGAGGTGGCCATGTGTGGGGAGAGGCATAGATCCAGCCCCACATCTGTCACCATCAAGCAATTCTTCCTGGTCAGTAGGCCTGTGGGCCCAGCACTTCCGGGGCAGGGTCCCTAAGGTGCCCATACCTGGGAATGATGGCTCAGGCTCGGGCTTCATGGCTTCTGGAGCTCATTTCAAAAAATTTTTTTTCAAAAAAATTTTTTTAAATGTTTATTCAGTTTTTGAGAGACAGAGCATGAGTGGGGGAAGGGCAGAGAGAGAGAGAGAGAGAGAGAGGGAGGGAGATACAGAATCCAAAGCAGGCTCCAGGCTCTGAGCTGTCAGCACAGAGCCTGACAAGGAACTTGAACGCACAAACCATGAGATGTGACCTGAGCCATTAACCAATTGAGCCACCCAGGTGCTCAAAGGCACTCCCATTTCAAATAAAGGGTTGCTGATTGATCGACTGACTAATTCCCATGATCCCTTTGATTCCTCTCCTCTCTGAAGAAAGACTTTCCCACACTTCACAGGCCAAGACAGTCTTTGGTATTTGTTTGCCTCTGTCTATCTTTGTACAGCCAGGCCAAGACCTCACAGACTCCTGGAAGTCTACTAGTGCTTCCAGAATCTACCTCCCCACCCTGGTGCACACACGCACACACGCACACACGCACACACACACACACACACACACACATGCATACAGCGCATCCTACACAGGCAGCCCAGGCATGGCCATTGGCCTTCATCTATTGCTACAACTCTTGAAGGATGTTAGGGGACTATAGTTTCGAATTCACTCCTGACATACAACTGAAGTCCTTTCTGCTGCAATGAACACTGCACACGGCACACACCCGCCATTACTTTAGTGCATACAGCAAGCTCTCTATACACAGCAGGGTCTCCATACACATGACATTGAAACCCAGGCTTTGTTGCCATTTTATGGAAGTAGCCATAGAGGCTGATGAAGGCAGTTGTTACATAAGGAAGGAGATTTCCCCCTGGCTGCTCCCTCCAGATTCGAAGGTCACAGCCACTGCTCCACAGTGCTGTGCCTCACTGCTCTGATCAGAGGGACCAGAAAAAGGGACACACATCCACTGCCGCCCCAGCAGTGAGGACTCCAGGAAACAGAAAAGCCCTGGCTGAGACTCAACCATTTTCTTCCCTGGGAGAAGGGCAGGGGCGTGCGGGGCTGACTGCAGCAGCCACAGCCCCGGCCCCATGGAATCATGCCCTTCATGAGACACTTGCCTGGTCCTTGGTTCTCTTTAGAACATGTCTATCCCCATTCCCTCATTTGATGCCACACTTTTTCATGGCAGTAGCAAGCAGGAGAGAGAGAATCCCCGCTTTAGGCCCGACTAAATCCTCCCATCTGACCAGTTCTCTAGAAGATGAGATCTCTATCAGAGAGCCTCTCTCTGGGGCCACACCCTCTGCAGATCTGGGGATGACAGCAGAGTCTGGAACCCAGGGAGGGGTGTGGTTATTCATTCCCCACGTTGCAACTCCACACCCCCAATATACACACACTCACCATGAGATGTTGGAAGAGCCAAGAACGCATTATATTGGTGGCATGCTTGGGCAAGACTCCTCGTTTGTTCTTGGACTTCTTATCCTCATTGTCCAGGAGGGAGGTGAGGTCAAGGTTAACCTTCAGGGCACGTGGAGAAAAAATCAGCATCAGCAGGCTGGCGGGCCAGCAGCTAGGGACCTGTTGCCATAGTGACGGCAGGCTCTCGCTGCCAACCCCCTTTCCCAACTCATTCTTAGGGCCCTGGGGAGGTCACCTTTCTTGTCACCCTGCACCAGAGAATGGGAGACAGGAAGAAGGAGAAGAAGGAGGAAGAAGCATGGGGGGGAAGGAGATGAGAGAGGACACAGAGGAAGCAGGGACGTGCGGAGAGTACAGGAGAGACAAATTTTCCAGAAACCATCTACTAATTCTTGGCATTTCTAGGTACTTTACAGTTTGCAAAGCACCTTCCTACCCATTACCATTGTTAGCACTCACAGCAGCCTTGCAGGTTGGTAGGGCTGTGTGCAGCAGCTGTGAATCCCCCTCCGAGGCTCAGAGAGGTCAGGTGACTCATCCAAGATGACAGAGCTAATGTCACATCTCAGGCCTGACTTCAGATCCTCTTACTCCCCCCCACTTGTGTGTGCGCTCTATCCCACTGAGCTACAGAGTGGCTGAGGGTGGAGACTAGGAATAGGGGTGCAGCATCCTTTGAGGTAACCCTGAGAGGTAGTGAAATCCCAGGAGTTGATAAAGCCTTTCAAACACCTGGCTTCTGATCTGGGACCTGAGGGTAACTGATCCCTCTCGGAAGAATAATAAGGATGAGATGAGCTACTTGTGTAAAGCGCCCAGCACATAGTAAACAATTACGGCTGCCCTCCCCCATATCCATGCACAAGTGCACACACCTAGGCGTGCACACACTCACCTGTGTGTTCTGGATCTGGATGGCTCCCTGGGGGATTGCTTGGGTGACCACCTGACCTTGGGAGGTTACCATGGTAACCGGCTGGTATAAGGCTCCACCTGAGGAGACAACCAGTTTTTGGGTCCCCTGCGTGGGGGTGGGTAGGAGTGAGGGCAAGCAGGACTTCCAGATCACTTGGCTCTCCTAGGCAAACACCCTCTATTCCGGGAGCATTCAGCCCCTATTTCAGGGGTGGGTGGGAGGGGGACAGGGTCCTGAGAGCAGAGCCTCTGGTGGGAACTGTTTGGGGGGAAGGGACAATCGCTTTATTTGGTTTTTGAGGGGCTCATGAGACTTTGACCCAAGTTTGCTCCGAACCATCACAATCAGGTCTTGGTGCTAACTGTCTAGAAACTTACAGGGCATGTTAGTCAAGGAATTCAGCTGGAAGCCCTTCCTCGACAGGGGGCACCCCCTCCCATTTCCTGAGATAATTCCTACAGTGCCCTGCCTCCCCAGCCCCTGGAACTGCTGGGGCGACCTCTTCTCCCCCCAGGAGTGCTCCCCACAATCCCCTGCACCAACCTGACACCACTTGGGAGTTGACGGTTGTCATGGCGATGTTGCCCTGCTGGAGCGCTGAGGCTGGGACCACAATCCCCTGGGGGTTATTGGAGACTCCAGACATGGAATTGGGGGAATTCTGCAGGAGGTCCTGGCAGTAAGGGAGGCGTGGTTTGTGACAATGTCACTAAATGCTTAGATGCTACAGCCGCAAGTCCCTCCTCCCCTTTTCTCCCTTCCTGCCTTCCCTCTTCCCTTCCTCCTGCTCCTCCTAGGACCCAAATCTGACAGGCAATTCTCATGGCCTCCTACGAGGGGTGAATAAGAAGGCTCATGTTAAAAACCAACCAACCAGCCAACCAACCAACCAACCAGCCAACCAGCCAACCAACAATATTTACCCACTTAGTCATTCCATTCTTTTGAAACTCGAGACATAAATTATCTCGCACACCAGTGGTCCAAAGTGGTCTTCACTTTGGAATTTCCAATACTGATGCCCGATTTCCAACTCCAGATAATTTAATTGATCAGGGGTGGGGCTGGGCCTTTGGCGTCTTAAATATTCCCTAAGTGGTTCTAACATGTGGCAAGGGCTGAGAACCAGGCTTTGTCTGCCTAGCACCTCTTCACCTTTTACACTCTATTGTCTCCAGATGCCTCCCCTAACACCCTCTTCCCCCAGAACCTCGCTTCCTCACCTACCTATCATGACATTTTTTATTATACCAAGCTCCACACACAAGTGGCCTCCAATGTTTTATCTTTGTAACCGGAGCACCTAGCTCAGGTGTCTGGCATGCAGTGGCTACTAAGATACTTGTTAAATCATCAGAAAAGACGGCCACCCCAGCCTCTTTATAACCTGCCTCCAAAGGGCATCTCACAGGAGCCTCGACCTCAGCCACCCGTCTGCACATCTCATCGATTCCTTTCTCTCCCTCTGGCTGCCAACACAGAATCCCATTGCAAACAGTCTCCCTTTGCCCCATGTTGTCAACCCGCCAGTCCCCATTTCCCCCAGTAAACAATCCTTGCAGTTTGTTTTTGCAGTAGCCAAAGCAGATAAGAAGACCATTCCCGCCCCCCCGCCCCTCCCCGGCACTCCAGTCACCTCGTCATTGCCATGTAACAGCTGCGCTGGGCAAGGAAGGCCTTGGACCTGATGTTGAGGGACTCCGCCTGCCATGCACGAGGGGAGGGAGCCTGGCTGCAGCCTCCAAGTAGCAGCATAAAGACCTCCCTGCTTGGCGGCCGGGTGCTTGTTTGCTGGGCATGACGTAGAGAGAATTTGTGAGGGAGGATTTGGGTGTGTGAGAGGCTGGGGTGTCTAGGCTTTATTTGGAGAAAGCAAGAAAGGTGGTCAATGAGGTGCAGCGAAGGATGCTGGAGGAGACCTGTCTAGCTCTCCAAGCTCCTCTGACCACAGTTCCTCATCTGACTACAGGGCTTGAACCAGGTAACCTGTCTGAGGGCCATCTAGGGCTGACACTCTCATGCTCAAAGCCTGGAGTCACAGGCATGAGCTGTAAGAATTTACACAGGTAAACAGTCAAGAAAATAGACTAAATCAGGGGAGAAAGAAGGCCCCTAGCTTCCTAGCTTTTGTTTTTAGGACTGGGAGAAGCTTGGACCTTCAGCCTCCAGGGAAGGTCTACAGGTTCCTTGAGCCAAACTCTTGGCCTCCCCACTCAAGCGAGTCAAGTCTAACACTGAGTCGGACCTTTGGAGCCTACAAATTGGAAGAGCCCTTTAAAGCCACATATTCCAACTCCCTGAGCACAAATAAGGAACTGAGGCTTAGAAGCCCAAGTGACTCACCCAAGACCCCCAGCTGGTTCGCAGCAATGGGACTAGAACACAGCCCTCCTTCATCCACAAATACTGAACACCCACCTTGTGCCAAGAACTGGGCTACGAGGTGCTCCTGGAATCACAGGGGTTTAGTACATAGTTACTGGAGGTGAGGTGAACAGGTAAGACAACCAAACCCGGAAGTACAAAGGCAGCAGAGGCCCCAGAGGAAAGACGATGGGCTTGGGAATCAGCAAATGATGGTCCTTCTATGAGCATCAGTCTCAGTTATAAAATGTCTCTGGCCCCGTGCTGACATCCAGGAGCCCTCCAAGCCTGTTTGCAGCTATGTGTCTGCCTGAGGTTGATTCTGCCCTCGTTCCCAACACCCCAGCCAACGAGTCTCATAGGATGTAAACCCATGCTGATGTTATTTGAAGCTGAAGTAAAGTTGTAACGTACATTTAATAGAAGAGGGGGTCTCTTCATGCCTCTCACCCTAAAACTAATGGAAATGACTTTTTAGCAATCTCTCGTCGGGAATCATTCATGCGATGGTGCTCCTCACAGGGAAAGGTATTTGGGAGTTTCAAACATAAAAAGCTGTCCCAGATTTTCTTTTCCCCGAAAAAGTATCCAGCAAGGTTAGGAAAACACAAGCAAAACCAGTAAAATAAATACAAGATGTGTGACTTGGGATTCAACCAGCACACATTTTTGCTTGCCAGAGGCAGAAGGGTGAGCTATTCAAGCTCTGGCTGGTTCTCCGCCCTGTGGTTTTGCTAGCCTCCATGCCAGGTTCCTGGTTTGGGTAACTAAAGGCAATTTGCCTTATGCATTAGATCAGACTCTTCTCTTTCCTAACCTCTCCTCCTAGTCTGGGGTCGTTGGCTGGGACATGCCGAGAGGCAGCCAAGTGATATCAGCAAAGGAATGGAATGTAGAGCTTCAGGGACAGAGATCATGGGCAGGGCCAGGGCTGGCCACATCTTAGCTGGGCAGAAAAAGGAGGGAGCAAAATCTTGGCATCCCTGAGGTGTGGGGGAATAAGATTCATCCCTTATATTTGTCAATATGAGCTGTTTCACTGCCTGAGTCCTGGAGAGTTTTTAAAGACACAGATTCTCAGCGTCATTGAATCAGACCCTCAGCAATCTGTATTTTTAAAAAACCTCCCTCAGCTGGTCCCAGAGATCAGTGGGTCTGAGACTACCTCTTCATCGAACGTATCAAATGTTAGCATGCTTTCACCATGCTACTTCATTTTAATCTCCCCACTATGATAGCGTCATTGGGAGAGAGATTATTCTATTTGTCTGGAGAGGAACTGAGGTCTGGACAACCAAAGTGATTTCCTGGAGCCTTGCACGTGGGTTCTTTGGCTCTTGCGCTAATACTCAGAGAGAGAGAGAGAGAGAGAGAGAGAGAGAGAGAGAGAGATGTGCTTTGGAATCAGACATTCAGGCTCGACGGAAGCAGGGTGCTGGCACATCTGGCACCCAATAAATCACTTTCTGCTTCCTTTGGCTAACGCCACTCACCCGGGGAGCTGGGCTCGACACAGCCAGGATCTAAAACCTGTCCTAGAAGGTCCCCAGAGCCGTTTGGGTTCTTTACTTAGCAGTGGCGGCGATTCATCTGGGACTGCCGACCTAGCTGTGGTGGCCGGTCCTTGCCACACAGGTTGTTCTTGCCTAAGTTGTTCCCGGGCCCGGGCCAAGCCCCAGGAGCGGGAGTGTGTCCCTGTTTTGGATGAGCTCTGTGACCTGACTGCAGCCATTTCAGGTCAAGCCCAAGGTCTCCTGTCTGGAGCCTTTGTCTATGGAGACAATGAGGCTCTGAAGCTCTGAGAAAGGTCTATGGTCTTTTCTGAGGGGGCAGCTACCATGTGAGCAGAGGAAGTCCCTTGGGGAGAAGATGTTGGCTAAGCACACAGTATTTTTATCTTCTTGACAGCTTCCTCTTGGGGCTTATCAGACTCCAAACCAGGTGGGTGCTCTGTCTGTACCCAAACAGAGCTGTCTGTTCTTAGCACCCAGAAAAGAGGTGGGGAGCACATGTGATATCACAGGTTTCATGATATTCCTCTGAATCCAGAGTCCCGCATCCCTGCCCAAATTGCCTGGGAGCCAGGGGCTCAGAGCTGGTTATCTAGTTCAAGAGCTCAGCCTTGTCCCACCAGGAACATGTCTGTGGTGTCCTCCAGCCTCTGAGTGCTGCTAGAAGCCTGCTTCTCTAGTGAGCCATCCCACCCAACTGGGGGGTGTGCAGTTTCCTACTTTTTAATATGCTTTCAAAGTATGAAATAGGCCCCAAAGCTGGAAACTTCCATAGAATTTCCCTGTAAGGACGTCGCAGGGCCTGGAGCTGGTGACCCAGGACTTGGATGGAAAATCACAAGCTGGTCTCCACAGGCCTCCCCAGAAGCTGCCCCACTGCCAATCTTCGTGTGCTGTATCCCTGAGACACAGAGAGGCACAGAGTCTCTCAGGACCAGGCCCAGCAAGGTTAGGGGAGCAGCTGTAGATGGGCTGATGGCTCGCGCCTCCTATCCCCGCCCGGGGGCCAGCAGCAAAGCCTTGCTGCCTGTGGCCATCGGTCACTCCTTCTGTGCCACAGTGGCCACTGGTGAGTTTTACTCCAAATCTCATTTGAGGCCAAAAAAGATGATTTATTCAAAAGGAAGACCTTGCTGAAGAAAAAGTGCAAGTCTCTGGGATTACTCTTGCAAGTAGAGGGTGGGAGGGTGGGCCGTGTGTGGCACCAATGAATGGGCAATGGCTGTGAACTCTGACGTCAGTGTCTACCCACAGCCCAGAAGGGGCGGGGTCGGTCCCTGGAGCCACAGGGGTCTCCCCTGTTAATAGGGAAAGGGCTTATGTTGCCCTGGGAAGGTTAATTTCCATTGAAGGAAGAAAGAAATTCCTGGAATAAACTGTGTTGGAAGGAAGAAAGGAAGGAGTGAAGGAAAAAAACGATAGAAAAACTTTCTTTTAAGTTATTTTGAAATAGCCAGAATGTTTATCTTACTAGGATCCCCTGTAAAACAGGGGACATGGACTAGATGACACTGCAAAGGTCTTTCCAGATGAGGATTTTAGAGAAACCAGAGAAATCTACTGTGTGGGTGGGTGGGTGGCGGCAAGCAGATGGGGTGGGGCTGGGGAGGCACTGCCCCCCACCCTGCCCCTCCCCAGCTGTCTGCCATGCACCTCCCTGGCCACTAGGGGTCTCTGCTAATCCACTGGCTCAGATCACACCCCCTCAAGCCTCCCAAGCCTCCCAGGAGGGCGGGTTTGTGGGCTAAGTGTCCTGGGCTGGGGGTGGGGACTTGGTTCTGGGTGCTGCATTTCCATA